CAGAGCCTTTTCCTCGCGACCCTGACCGGGATTAGTGGTTACATGGTGGATGGATCAAAGGCTTCTGTGATGAGTTCCAGGCCTGCTTGTTTCTTCCTTTAGTTCCAGTGCCTTCTGTTGTTTCATGCATGTGTTTGATTGTGGTTAGCACAGAGCTAATAAGGCCAAGGCGTTGTGGGTTCGCAGTAACTCATCTTGAGAAAATTCTGCCGTATAAATGTGCAGTGTAAAACCCTATTCCCGTCCAGGGTGTACCCCACCTGGCGCCCTCTGCTGCCTGGGAATGGCTCTACGCCACCACCGCGACCCTGTACTGGATAAGCCGCTGGAAGATGGATGGATGTAAAATCCTAAGCCGTTGCTTTCAACGCGTGTTGCTTTCAATATTACATATAAATGATGGTAACATGAATGCAAAGGCATAATTTAATAATTCTGCAAATCTTAAGGACTTAGAGCCTAATTCCTCTTAAAGTTTGTCAAAGATGCATTCCCTGGATTGTGGGAATGGACAGTTTTTTAATCTGATTTTCCACAAACTACTTACATTCCTATATTTCTGTTTGGTTCAGATTTGCAGTCCATTATCTGGTTAAGTTGTATTTGACCTACTTCTTCCCCTCCAAGCCCCTATTGGGCACAAACCACTGATACATACTTATTTCACATTATTTTATACATTTTATTACCAGTAAAAGGTGTTTCCTCAGCTGGTTCCTCTGGTCTGTGCCTCCGTTCACGGTGCCGTGTGATTTGCTGAGCGTAGTCAGGTGACCAGCCCGTCCCGGGGCAGCTGTTCCTCTTTGGCCATGGGATGGTTAAGTCTAACACTATCCAAGCAACTGAAAGACGTGGAAATAAGAGATCTGATTGTTGGTCCTGCCTCCTCTACTATCTGATTGGTTATCTCTCTGAATCAATCATTTTTTGTTCTGCCCTCAGAACATTTTTGCGTATGTAAAACTCCCATGAGCAATATGGGCCATGCTGTAGTTATTTTAATCAATTAAAATGAGCATTATGATAGCACCCCCCCCCCCATCCGGCCTCCATGATGTATGGTGACCTTTGTCTGGTGGCTGTTTTACTTACTGAGCTCTCATTCTGGGTACCTATGCCATCTTCCCCACTATTTCCAAATTCAAGAAAACCATTTACTTTCTATTGTTTCATCATTCCAAATAACATTCATGCAGTGTTTTTTAATTACAAATTAAAATTCCAGTGCTGTTCTGCTTAAGATACAAACTTTTTTTTTATTGATTTCTTTGGCAGACAGGAATTTATTGCAGCCTGACTGGAACAAAATCATCCAAACTACAATAAAAATAACAGAAAAGTCTCAGGTTAACTCTTGATTACTCAGGAAGTGTGTGTTTGTCAAAATGGCCTGATTGGATGTGCTCAGTATTACTCACTATAATGTGGTGAATCATGGTAAACAAACCCACGTGGGGAGCATTCATGCTCTGCTATTATCTGCACTGCTAATGGCCCAGCTATTAAAATGTAAACAATCACGCTTACGGCAGAATAAGCCCAACAAACCCATAAAATGCATAGATGTTTCCATCATCTCATTGCTTTGGATGTAAAGGCATTTTATGTCAGGATAATTATACTACTGTCTGCTATTTGTTCTCATACATATTTTACAGAAACAGTGCGTGAGGATGAATTTTCTATATTTTTATTTAATCACGAAAAGGATTTTGAGTGATTTGAAAATAAATGGAAAATAACTCATTGGAGGCAAATAAGATTTCTACAGTTTTTGTAATATTTTGTTTTATTTCAGAATTGTGTCAGCGCTGATATAACGTACACAGCGTAACTTAATGCATATACCCAGATGGTGAGCACCTCGTATTTCCTGTGCCTTCAGGTCTTAGTGATGCTGTGAATTCCAGATGGTAAACAAGCCTATTTTACACATCCCTTATATGCTGAACCCGTAATTTCCTGAATAATTTTGTTTTTTTTTTCCAAACGGGGACATGAATCTCTTTCGGTTAGACCATTCTATCTCAGTTTTCTTACACCCCCTTTCTGCATTTATGGTGCCTCCCTGATATGCCCCAGTCTCCTAAAATGGATGGGGGGATGGAGGGTATGTAGTCTGGCTGGGTGTTGGGCAGCATCAGCACGTAGCTCTGTAGATGGAGAGAGGCAGCGTGGTCAACCAGCTTTACGGTCCAACCACCATAACCCCCCTGATCCAACTCTCCCTTTCCAGATCCTTTTTTTTCAGAAAATGAGGTGAAGCTTTGCTTTGACGAGCCGCTGGTGTCACAATGACCCCATCACTGTTCATCAGTCCTGCGTGGTGCCTTGTAGGGATTTCGACCTCTTCCTCTTTTCGGGTCTGCTTTAACTGCTTGACACTCTTGGCTGTCTGATGTGAGCTTCTCGCTTTGGGCTATGTCTCAATATTTGAATTGGTTTAAGTTTGGGGCTTTTGAAAAGGCAAATTCCATCTTCCTCAGCTATTGTGCTGTAGACTTACTTTTGTACTTAGGATCTTTGTCAGGCTGCATGACCCACTTTCTGTTCGCGCCCTGCTAACGGGCAGATCCCCTGACATTCTGCTGCAGATTTCCTTGTTATAATCCACTAGTCATTGTTCCATCAATAGCTGCAAGCTGTTTGCGTCTTGGGGCTGCTAACCATGTGATTCCCATGACCATGTGGCCTGGTTAGAATAAGGTCATTCTGCTGGTTTGTGCACTTTCATTCTTCTGACATTTTTAAATCAATGCCAAAATGTTCCACTTCTATTACATCTATTCAGAAGAGTTCTCCTATAACCCCCTGGACCATCCAGTAGATCTTTTGGGAAATCTCGGCACGAGCGACACTTTTCTCCTGTGGAAGCAGATTTATTTTTCTTTGTTTTTGTTAGTGTGGCGTCTTCATGCTCTTTCACTTGGGCTTCCTCACACTATGCACTTATTTCTGGTGTTTTTTTCATACCTTGCTGGGAATCTTGACCACATTTTTCCAGAATTTTTTAATACTGTAATTTGGTGTTACGACTTAGTGGGTTTGGACCTTCTGTCTGTGTGTCATGGCTTCAAATCCTGTGGTCGCCAGAGAAACCATATCATTGGCCCCTTGATTCGCACCTTTAACCCCTGTTGCTCCAGGGACTGGCTGGCCCTGCTTTCTGAATTGTACATCACTTTGGATAAAGGTGCCTGCTAAATAAATAAATGTGATGTAAATGTGATTTTCCACATCTCTGTGAGCGGTAGCACGCATTATGAAAGCTGGGTGATCATATGGACACTAAGGAAAATATTTTGTTTTTGTTTTGGTACGTAGTTTAGAGAAATGTGCCACAGTGACTGTCCTGTGCAGCCACGCGTGTGACATCATCGGCAGAGGTGTCCTCGCTGTGCCCGATTCCGTGTGACATCATCGGCAGAGGTGTCCTCGCTGTGCCCGATTCCGTGTGACATCATCGGCAGAGGTGTCCTGGGTGTGCCCGATTCCGTGTGACATCATCGGCAGAGGTGTCCTCGGTGTGCCCGATTCCGTGTGACATCATCGGCAGAGGAGTCCTCGGTGTGCCCCATTTCGTGTGACATCATCGGCAGAGGTGTCCTCGCTGTGCCCGATTCCGTGTGACATCATCGGCAGAGGTGTTCTCGCTGTGCCCGATTCGGCTTCGGCACGCTGCGAGAGGCCCTTTGGCTCCTTGAACTTCTCAGCATGTTCATGGCAGACATCAGGAGAGGAAAAGGAGCCGGCAGGGAGCAGAGTGGGGGGTGGGGAGTAATTGGTGCAGCCGACAGTCACTGGCAGGATGGAGGGGGTGCTTAGCTATAGCTCATTAAGTGAAGCCTGTTAGGTCTAAAATAAATTGGGTGAAATTCAGAGCGGCTGAGAGCCGTTTGCTCAATTTCCGCGAAGAATAGATGGTTCGACGAGTGCGAGGGGCTCGCGGTCCGCAGCCAGGCCTAACCTCGCCTCCGAGGTGTGACCCCCCCCTCCCCGTGCTCTAAGCCCCAGCTCCGGGTCGCACTCCTTCCTGCATCCTGTACTAAATGTGCCCTCCACCGTGCAGAAACACACCCATCTTTTCTTGCTTGGCCGGGAAGGTGAAACGTCTCCGCCCCCATTTTACTGAGACAGTGACATCGCTACCCTGTCAACCCCGGCTTCAGCACCGCAGCCTCGAGGGGGAGACTCTGTCCCGGATGTGCCCACACGGTGAGGCAGGCTGCAGGTCGTCTCGGCAAGCGCTCCCGCACGTGCTGACGCATTCCCGAGGAGCCGGAGCAGATTGGGAGCCCCCGGCGGCAGCAGCCTGGCAGGCGTAGGCTAGCGGCAGCATGCGCTAATTGGATTTGTCAGACATGAGCTGATCTGTGTGGGGAGAGACTGAGTGAAATCTGTGATTTAGTACGCCTCTTTTAGCCTCTCTTCATGCCCTCCTGCAGGGGGTGCTCTTGCCCTTCCGCACTCTGCACTGGTCATCAGGGTATTGGGTTCTCAGCTTTCTCTCAATGCCTTCCTGCTGGGGGCGCTCTTGTCCCTCCTCACTCTGTACTGGCCATTATGGGTCTGGGTCCTCAGTCTTGTGGTCTATGCAGGCTGCAGAAGGTTTAAGGGCTGATGGCTGGAGAAGTGTCACGTTGTGAAGCACACAGGTTCCACATCAGGCTCCCACACGCGTGATGTGCTGTGTTGGGCTCCCACACGCGTGATGTGCTGTGTTGGGCTCCCACACGCGTGATGTGCTGTGTTGGGCTCCCACACGCGTGCTCGTCTTGCTCTTCTGCATGTGACTCGTCCCCATGAAGCATGAGCTCCCCTGTGCTTAGATCACCTATCAGGACACGGCCTTGCTGCTGCAGAGCTCCTCCCTCCCACGTCTGTCTGCTCCTCACGGACGATAATGGGCGCAAGCTGTCATTAATGAAGAGTGAATGTCTGCTCGCGTTCCTCAGCGGGGATCTTGTAGTTGAACGAATTACACCTGAATTAAAGCTTATCTGATCAGATTTAAGCCCCTTTAAATGAAGAAGTCTGGGCTGCGTACACTGACTGACAGCAAATCTGGCGGTTTAGTTCCTTTCATCTGATCTGGCAAACATTAGGCTTAACTAACAGCAGGAGACAGGGAGGCAATTGGCTTACTTTTAATTAACTGCAATCACTGGAGATATCTATTGAGCTCGCTGGCTGTAAGCGGCACGGAGGTATGCCTGTATCCGGGGCTACTCTGCTGTATATCCTGAAGAGAATCCTGGTTTTTATTGACAGGGTTTGGTCTGATGTTTTGGCACATGGGGATATGAGGGTTAAGGTATTAGAATGGATTTCACCCCCACTTCCATAGCCAGAATGGCTTGCCGTGCTTAATTAGAGAGCTGGTATAATCCATGTGAGGCTTTAGTGCCTCCATGAACTTTGGCAACCTGGTAAATGTAAGCGAGAGAGTGTGCGATCTATAGTAAGGGTCATGAAATGATTCAGGATAAGGAGAGACTGGGCAGGTGACACAGGAAGGGTGTTCATGGCTGATGCCAGCAGGTGTTTTCAACCTGTTTGGCTGAGCGTCTTGTGGAGGAGAAGAAGGGAATGTCCCCCTGATTACTGTAAGCTGACATGATCGGGGGGAATTTTCACATCTCCAGGCCTGATGAATTACTATCCAGCTCTTGCATTTTTGGCTGTCGTTTCCACTTAGCCAAATGCTTTCTGATTTTTTCACTCCCTCACCTTCATATCACTTTCATCCTTTCTGCATTTTTAGTCTTATTTTAATGAATTACTGATTGATAGGTTTTGTAATTTCTTTTTGTAAGTGGAATTGATATATGATATATTATATAGCAACATATGATAACGTATCACCAGTATTGTCATCTGATTTGTAAAGACAACACACCTATTAATGCTTTTTGTATTTTTTTTTCTCTGGTCAGCTGCTATTATGGGGATGACGCTCTTTTCCAAGCAGTGGTCGTCTATTCTGAGGCAGATTTTTGAACATTTGGTGGTGTGGAACATTTTTCCTGTAAGTAATTTCTCCTATATGGTGTCGGGGAAAAGCATTTTTCATTTACAACTGTTCACCTTTCAAGTTGGTTTTAGGTCAGGAATTGGGTTCATAAATCGAGTCACAGGTGTACTTGGCTTTTGTTGTCTGTCCCAGTCCTCGTTTTCTCGCCTGCACATTTCCCTGCTGCTAACACCAAACTTGTGACTCTTTTTTGCTTCCTCCACTCCCTTTTCTCTCAAAACCATTCTTATCTCTCCGGGTGCTTCTGTTTGTAAGCTGAAATGTCCACAGCTAAAAGGAAATAAATATGTATTTATTTCCTGAGGATATATAACATATTTATCTGCAGCCTTGCCTGTTGCTCTTTATTCCATCTTCTGGTCCATAATTGAAGCTCCCGCTTTTGAAAAGCCCATGGGTTTCGGGGAGCTCGGCTTATGCTGGTCCAGAAGGTCATCATTAGAAATTAGATTGAGTGTCAATTATTGCCCTTCAACAAACTGTGATCCAACTTACATTAATAAATAGCCAAGTTTTAGATGTTTAATTTTGAAATAAAATTTAGCGACTGCTTCTGACAGCATGTCTTTCTCTTCTCAGAGCCAAGCATCAAATCCCACCTAAATGTTTTCAGTCTCTGCTGAAGAAAAGAATGAAGTAAAGAAATGCTGTAATGTTTTTGGGGGATTTAGTGGTTTTATGTAAGTATTTGGATTGCTGTAGGTAATTTTACTTGGCTCATTGTAGGTGGGCCTTTGTAAACATGACGTAACTTCGGTGAGGTGTCCCCTGCCCCCTTTGTTTGGTTTTCCGAGGCATGTCCGTGTAGGTCGTCCCCCCCTGATCAGCACACCGTTATGCTGTTGGCCCGGTGCCTCTGGGGGCCGAGCTGGCCCATCTCTGGGGAAGTGGCCTGGGGCAGAGTTGGTGTGAGTGGCCTGCTAATTGCCGGCCGCCGTGGGGGGGGATGCAGGGGAAGGTGGGACAGCTTGATAAGTCACGGCATGCGGTCGGCGCCAAGCCGGCGGAAGGAAGCGGGTTGGGCGCAGCTGCCGCTTTACCGCGTCTCCCGACACGCTCCCACGCCCCCACCCCCCCGCCGTCTGTGTCTGTTTGGAGGCCCTCCATGCATTCTCTCTTTAATCTTTGTTTTTGTTTCGAGTTACGGCCCGGAATGGGAAACGCCACGCTAGTGTCTGCCTTAATGGCCGAGGCGGAAGCGCCGCAGCGCGAGTCGGTCCGGCCGTGTGGGGGACGTGCTGATAGAAAAGGCCGCTTTGACTTAATCGCTTTTCCTCGTTCTGAAATGAATGCGCAGTGGGCCTATAAATCACACTATCAGCCTGACTGATCCTGTCTCCTGACAGATACACTCACAGCTCCTAAATCACATGGCATCACCATAAAGAAAATCCACACGTCTTACGTCAACCTTTCAAAATCCTACACTTTCAATCTCAGCAGCCCGGAGTGTGTGTTTGGAATGAGGGATACTTCACTTGCCTGCCGCTTAATGTTTTATTTTAATTATGATCCAAATTAAATTAGATGTTTATTTTTACTTAACTATAGTGATTATTGTTACTGTAATTGATGGACATTAAATTGTTGCTATTTTCTCCGATATCTATTTTCTTTCATATGGATTTGAGTCGGTCGAGTTTGCATAAAAACTGCCAGGACATGATGATATTATAGACGCTAGAAAAAAACTTTTAAAGATAGGATTCATGTTACGTTTCAGTTTATCATCCTGTTCTGTGGCTTAAGACGCCTGCTTGGATGTAAATCATGAAGCTCAGTATTAATTTTTTCAGGGTGATGTGTAAACATGAGGAAAACCTGAAGTGGATTGAACATTCTAAGTATTCCAACATCCATCAAAGCAATGTCTAACTGATTAAGATAGAAAATGAGCTTATCAAAAAGCTAACCAAATTCATAATGCAGGTTAATACTTACGTCTGCCTTTTGGTGGTTATTTGTCTTATAGGTTTCATGGGGAAAAATCATATATAGCATGGTGTTCCTGTTGTAACATTTTAAGGTCAAAAAGATGCCAGCTTTATGTTGCTGAAAGTATAGTTCTTATTAGTTTTAGCCTAGAAGCCACTGAAGATTTTAAATACAATGATGAATAATTTCAAATTGATGGATTAAAATGAAAAATTGATTGGAGCAGCAGGGCATTTCAAAACAAAGAAACAAAATGTTCTCATTTTCTGTACTCATGGCATCTTTGCGGCTAAGTTTAACCAAAGTGGTTTATGTTTTTAATTCTCCAGTGTTCTCCGAGATGAAATCAATGCGGTATGTATGGGCAGAAAAGACATCAAATAATAAGGCTGTAAATGTTTGTGCATTATCTTTTAGAGGGAAATACAGCGTCTTGCTGAATTTTATTACACCTTTTCACAACGACATTTATCTTAAATAGAGTGTTTACCCAAAATGGGAGTCATGATCAATGTCAGCCACTGAGTCTCCTTGCATCCTTAACAGTTGGGGCTTCATTAAGGTTTGCATGCATGGATTCAGATGAATGTCTGTGCGTCTGGCAGTGAGGGAGAAAGTGACGCAGCAGGAAGTTTGCGGGAATGAGGCAGGTCTGGATGTCTGTGATCCAACATCAGCCAGGGAAAATGTTTAAGGGAGAGACCATAAGAGGCCATTACGAAGTAGATAAGCCATTCAGTCCATCTTCCACGTCTGCACGTTTCATCTAAAATTCTTCAGTGTTGAAAAAGAGACTCTGATACAACCCCATGAGTGTTATACCAAAACTCCACATATCGCTCTCATATCTACTGGTCTCCAAAGTCTCTCTAGTCATCAGGTTTTTGCAGGTTTGACTTATTTGTTCCTCTCTGAGGTTTTTGCCCTCATCCCAGCGGTTTCCCTAGAACTATAGAGATTTAATGTTTACAATATGCCTGTCCTGCTATCCCAGGGTCCGTGGCTGTTCTTTGTTGAATGTACTTTAAAGCAGTGTTTTGCAAACAGGACTTTTTTTGCAAAATGTGGACTATCTGGCCGGGAGCTGAGAGGGAGCAAAAAGGTGGACCATCGCCTATAGGGGATAACTGTGCCACAAGGCCCCCACCGGGTATGCCGAAGGGCATTCTACAGGGCATGCTGCATGTCACGCGGCATGGCATTCTACAGGACACGCCACAGGGCTCTCTGCCGAGCATCCCACAGGGCACTCTACAAGGGAGCAAAATGATGCACCATTGCCTATAGGAGATAACTGTGCCACAAGGACCCCACAGGGCAGGTCACAGGGCACTCTGCAAGGCATGCCGCAAGGCAATCTACAGGGCACGCCGCATGGCTCTCTGCTGAGCATGCCGCAGGGCAATCTACAGGGCACGCCGCATGGCTCTCTGCTGAGCATGCCGCAGGGCAATCTACAGGGCACGCCGCATGGCTCTCTGCTGAGCATGCCGCAGGGCAATCTACAGGGCACGCC